GGAGGCAGGGACGAGCTGGACTGGTTTTGGGATGCGGTAGGGGGACCTGAAACGTCAGCCTCTCTGCTCCTATGATGCTGCTTGACCTGCTGTGTTCATCCAGCCCTGCACCTTGTTGTCTTTAATATGCTACCACTTGGTTTGATCTTTGGTCCCTCCTGTAGAAACTTTGTACCTGCCTGCTCTGCACTTAACTCCCAGTGTGATAGGGAGATAATTAAATCTGATAACTAAATGTAGAATTTGAATTATTTTGAATTTTAATATATCTTTCTCCTTGTGTTAGTGTGGTTTACACTCTACAATATCCTCGAATATTAGTGCAGAGTCTTGCACTTTCACCATTGTTATTGAAACTTGGTTTTGATTGCAGTAAGGGCTAACAGAGTTTACATTTTGGTTCATTTCTGGCTGCGTTTGCAGAGATGCCAGCACACATAATCACAATTGCTCTGAAATTTGCTTATCTTTCCCCTCTCTTATTGCAGCATGTTATTGAAATAGGAGATTTTTAAAGCTTTGACTCTATTCTTTGTGAGGGTTTAAATATTAATCCAAATACTGATCCCTTTTGAGTTGAGCTGAGGAATATTGAGGGTTGGTTGAATTACTGGGAGTATGTTGGAGAATACCAAACAATGGAAAGGAAATTAAACTTCTCAAATTAGCAAGGTGTGCTTTAGCATGTTTATAGTTGCAAGGGATTACAAATGTGCAAACTGGAACAAGGAAGTTATTTGTTTGTGGTGCAAAGGGGCAGTTGCATTCTGAACAATGTTCTCTGTCAATAAATGAAGAACAGTGTAGTTTTACTTCTGTCTAGGTGACAGTGAATGGCCTAAATATAAGTAAATGTTTGAGATTGAGGTGAGGTGTGACTTTGCACAGATTAAATGGAAGGAAAAATTGTATTGCTCATGGAGCAGCAATGGAAAATATTTAAGTGAGATGCAAAGGCTACATGTCAATCTTTCTCTAAAGGAAGAGTGGGATGCTGAGAAATCAGGAGATAATGTAGCACCTTTTATTACATTGTCTGAATTACTTTCTGTAGTTCAGTCATTATTTATGTATAAATACGACCACCTTTTTGTTTAGAGCCCAATGACAGCACTAAACAAATGAGTGGCTAATTTTTTTTGGACATTGATTTGAAGAATATTAGTAAGGTAGTGGGAAGAATGCCTGCTTTTAGTTTTTTTAATATGTGAGCAGGCAGGTGGGGCCTTATTTTAGTACCTAATTGAAAAGATGATCTTTTTGGCATTGCAGTACTCCCTCAGTACTGCATTGAAGGATCAGCATGTGATGCCTGAACCCACTAGCTTCTGTTTGAGGAGAAATGCTAAATGAATTGAGCAAACAATTTCTTTGGATCTAAATTTGAACAGACCTAAGTTGGATCTTCAAAGACCTGCTAAACTCACTGAAGCATTGAGAGTTTCTCAGTTTCTTTTTGCAATATCATAACTGATGGACCTTGGGGTTAGCTACCTCTTCCACTGATTCCTATTGGCTGTTTTGACATGTCCAAAGTGAGATCATTAGGTTTCTGTTTTGACAGATAAACTAAATTGCATGTGTAATCTGAAAATACCCTTTTTTTTAAAAAAAAGTTCTTCAATCCATTGGAGAGATTTATCTTTTTTGACCTTGATGCTGTTTTCTCAACTCTTTGGGTGCAAAGTAGTTCAAAGTTATTCTTTTAGTTTTTTTTGGTGTGCATCATACATGCTAACCTACAATCTGTCTATATGATGGTACCACTTAGCAGTCTTCATAACCCTGCCTGATCCCCTTTCCCATTCTGCCCTGGGTGCTTGAGCTGTTTGTAGTCCCTGCCTGGTTGAGGTTCCTAAACTCTGCACAGATTAAGGAGTAGTTGAGGCAGAGACAATTCCATCCTTTAAGCTGCTGTGGGATAGCTGTTGGGCTACAGGGAGCCAACAGAGCATTTTGAATTGTTCTAATAGAGAACCAGTTCACACCTGATGGGCCAAATGGCCTCTTCCATGCACTAAACTTCTCCAGTTGTATCTGGGCTGCAGCCTGTGACTCTTTGCTGTGAGTGGCTCATTACCATATCATGCAGTACACTTACCCATTGAGCCACTGTATATCTAAGGAACAGTTAGGAAATAAGAGTCCCTGCTTCCTGTGTCCCCCAATGTTTAATCAATGGAGCATGAAGTGTTGTGAGCGTGAGTTAAGTCAGGAATATTACTTCCTCCTCAGCTGCAATAAGTTTCAACAACACGAATTGTGATGCAGTGAAATAAATGTGGACAGAAACTGGTTCAGCAAGAAAACAATAGAAAGTGACCTGTAATTAATTACTGTAAAGAGAAGCATTGGTGTGGGTGGGAATGAGGAGCTGAATATTGTACTGTTTTTTAGGAGGCCTGACGGAATAAACATGCTTTAATTGACCTTAGGTTTGTAAGGAGGTTATGCATGGGCTCATCTTAGGTCTCTTAACACTCTCAAATTTTTTAAAAACAAAATCAGAAATTGCTGGAAACACTCAGATTGGGCAGCGTCTGTGGAGAGGAAGCAGAATAAACCTTTTGGGGTCTGGAAGATTTTGAAGAAGGGCCACTGGACCCAACACATTAACTCTGCTTTCTCTCCACTAATGCTTGACCTGAATTTTTCCAGCACCTTCTGATTTTGTTTGATTTCCAGCATCTGCAGTTCTTAGGTTTGTTAAATGAGAAACTTTTTGCCTGGCTTTTCACTTTCTCCCATCTCCTGCAGGCACTACAGCCTTATTTAGGTTATCACGCCATGGGGCCAGCATCAGGCACTTGGGCAAGGTTTCAATCTTCGCTCTTGAAACTTGAGGGGGCATCAGTGTGGGGATGCCTCAAAGCCTAAGTCACCTTTTTGGTACAAAACTCCCCATTGACGGTGTTACTCAACTGGGATTTCTGTCAACAATAAAGCTAGAGACCCAACACTCTTCAGTTGGTGAATCCCAAATAATATTCAGGCTAGGTGTGGAGTAAGCTCACAATTCTGGGATATGCACTTGTGGTTCATTGTGGAAAGGGTTTAACTGTTAAAGATTTGGTCTCTGTGCTCAGTATTCATTGTACTTCATCTAGGGCAATGTGAACATTTGCCATGTCCATATGTTCTTTAAATCCCAGTGACTGTACTAGAAGTTAAACCATTTGGAGAGAAATTCTGTCTAAACTCAATGTGTAAAAGACAGACATGCATATTTATATAGCATCCTTCACAACAACTGGACATCTCAAAGTAGTTTACAGTCGATTTGAAGAAATGTAGTCATTGTTGTAAATGTAGGAAATGCAACAACCAATTTGTGTACGACAAACTTTCAGTAGTAATGTGGTCAACAGATGATCCTTTTATTTGTAATGTTGATTGAGGTATATAATTCATCAGGGTGGGGGGGTAACTTCCCTCCTGCCTGAAATAATTTTGCAGGATCTTTTGCATTCACTAGAGTAAAGCAAGATTGGGCCCCTCTGATAGCATAGCTCTCTGAGTGCTGTGCTGGAACATCAATGTTTTATCTGCTCAAGTCCTGGAGTTGTCTCCTTGCATGTTGGTATTAGTATGGATCAAATAGGGTGAAAATATTACTTTTTCAAAAATGAGTTGATTTTAGTTACATAAAAGCAAACTCTTCTAAACTAATGTCATCATCCAGATATATACCCAGTGTTTTTCTTGTATATCATAGTCACAGAATCTGTGCAGTGTGGAAACAGGCCACTCAGCTAATCAAGTCCACACCGACCTTTTGAACAGCATCCCTCCCGGACCCACCCACTCCACCCTTTCCCTGTAACCCTACGTTTCTCATGCTAATCCACCTGGCCTGCACATCCCTTGACACTGTGGGACAATTTAGCATGGCCAATCCACCTAAACTGCACACTTTTGACTGTGGGAGGAAATCGTAGCACCTGGAGGAAACCTGTGCAGACCTGGGGAGAATGTGCAAGCCCCCCCACACCCATCTGAGGGTGGAATCAAATCCAGGTCCCTGGTGCTATGAGGCAGCAGTGTTAACCACTGAGCCACCCTATCCTAGTGTCTAGCACTCTCTTGTGGTTTGCTTGAGGTTGAGCTCCTTTATATTTCAGCACGAGTAAGATTCTGCACTGTACTCTAACTCTAATACAAGCTGGTTCACGTTTTGTTCAAAAATCTCTGACAGATTGTGATGGATTCTGGGGAAGTGTAAGAGAGTGAACTGAAAACTGTTACTGTTGACTTCTGCTTGACCACCTGTTGTTTCTGTCTCTAGGATGTCATCTTTCCTGGACAAGTGGCTGTGGCATCATGAATATTGGCTTCCTCCAGGGATCACGTGGAAGGATATGGAAGATTCCGATCATGCCCGATATCCGCGGCCTCGTGATCTTTTCATCGCCATCCCATATGCGTTTGTGTTTATTGCTGTCCGCTATCTGTTTGAGAGGTATCACTAATATTCAATATACTGTATTTATTCTTTTGCTGCTGTCTCATGCCCCTCATGTATAGCATGCATAAAACCAGTTTGACCTCAGCAGGACTATTGTGTCCAGTTTGGGACACTACACTTTAGGAAGGGTGTGAATAAATTAGAGAGAGTGCAGAAGAGTTTGAGAACTGTGGGGAAGGTGATAGCCTAATGGTATTATTGCAGGAGTGTTAATCCAGAGACCCAGGTAACATTCTGGGGACCTGGGTTGGAATCCTGCCATGGCAGATGGTAAAATTTGAATTCCATAAATATCTGGAATTAAGAATCTAATGACTGTGAATTGATTGCCAGAAAAACCCATCTGGTTCAATAATGCTGTTTAGGGACGGAAACTGCTATCCTTACCGGGTCTGGCCTACATGTGACTTCAGACCAACAGCGACGTGGTTGATTCAGAACTACTGTTGGGGATGGATAATAAATGCTGCTGTGAGCTAATTTTTAAAAAAAAAAAAAAAAAAAAAAAAAAAAAAAAAAAAAAATTCATCCAAGGATGAGGCATTTCGGGTGTAAAGATCAATTGGAGAAGCTGGGACTGTTCTGCTCAGGAAGGAGAAGGCTGAGAAGCGATCTGATTGAAGTTTTAAATATCATGAGTGATCGGGACACAATAAATAAGGAGAAACCTTTGGCTGTCCTGAAAGGATCGGGATGGGGAAGGTTGGGGAGGAAAGAGGGCAGAGGTTTAAAAGTGATTAATAAGAGAAGCAAAAAGGATGTGAAGAAAAGTTGTTTCCATGCAATGAATGGTAATGCTCTAGAATGCATTTCCTGAGTGTGAGATAGAGGCAGGTTCAATCAAGGGCATTCAAAAAGGAATGTTAAAAAGGTTGTTAAAAAAGGAGCATTGTGTAGGATTTTCCCACTGGATGAGACATTTGCTTGGGCTGCCTCCTGTGTTTTAATTATTGAGTCTCCAAATAGTGAATAGTCAAAGCCTTTTCTACAGGCTAGGGGAGTCCAACAATAAAGGGCATAGGTTTAAGGTGAGAGGGAGAAGATTTAAAAGGGACCCAAGGAGCAACTTTTTCAGAGGGTGGTGCATGTAAGGAATGAGCTGCCAGAGGAGTATTGGAGACTGGTACAATTGCAACATTTAAAAGGCATCTGGATGTGTATACTAATAGCAAGGGTTTAGAGGGAAATGGGCCAAATGCTGGCAAATGGGACTAGATTTATATATGATACCTGGTCGGAATGGACGAGTTGGACTGAAGAGTCTGTTTCCGTGCTGTAAATCTGACTCCATGCCTCTAAGAACACCACAGTGAGGCTAGAACAGGATACAGTATTGTAATTTTTTGTGAGGATGCAGGGAAGCAGAAGCAGTGTAGATTCCAGACCTTGCAACTTGGGAGAAATGAGGGAGAGGTATCAAACTATAAGTGTTGGATAGTATTGGGTTCAAGTTCCACCTAAAAAAACTTTAACACAAAATGTAGTCTGACACTCCAGTGCAGTAGAGGTTGTTGATGGCCTCTCATAGCCAGGTTCCACAATCACCAGTCTGTCACTTGATGCTGGAATCAACGTATACACAGCAAAAGCTGCAGCTGTTACGAACACCAAACAGAGTCTACAAAGCCTGCGTCATCAATGCCCTCTTCATCTGTGGTGATGAGACCTAGACAATGTAGGTTAGAAGAAGGGATGGTTTCTATCTTTCCTTTCTCCGACACATGCTGCCAAAAGATACCCAGGATTGGGTTACCAACTCTGGGGTCCTGCAGGGTGACAATTCCATCAGCACATATACTCTTAGTACAATGACTTCTGTGCTGGTCTGGCCGTGTTCATCTGATGAGGGCATGTCCCCAAAGATGCCTGCATAGTGAACTGGCCGCTTGGATGTCCGTACCCTTGCAATAAGGACACCAGGAAATTAGATGTGAAGTTTGTAGCTATTGATGCTGACAGCTGGGAGGCAGTCACTGGCTGTAACTTCCTGAAGGCTGAGGGTTTGGATGGAAAGAGGTGAACAGAAATGAAGAGCTTGGTTGGTCAGGGAGAAGGCCCTGAACATAGAAGCCAAGGAGTCCAGTACCTTAACACTATGTCTTCCTCTGCAGCAAATGTGACAGCCTGCCACGCCAGGGTAGAGAACTTGAGCCGCACCAAGCAATGCTTAATACAATTGATCACTGCAGTGCAAGCGATCACCTTGATGGAAAGCTGCCACCTGTATATAAATGCAAGGCCTTTATTTTCTTGGGTATTTGGTTTAGTTGCTGCTTCACTCCTCCAGTCTGCAGTGACTATGACACTCTGTTACTTCCCAAACAGCACTATGAAAATTTCATTTGAATAATTAATACCCTGTTAATGAAAATCTGCAAGTTAAGTGGGCACAAGCAAATAATTCACGTCCTCTAACTTTTGAAGTTTATTTGGAGTTATCCTAGTTAACTGGCTGAATCCCAGTTGCAAATTATGTATGAATTACATGATTGGAGTTCAGTCTATACTGAGCTGTTGTTGTGATCAATTCTGGAGACCAAGCTTTGGGAATCCCATGTTGATGGCCTAAGTGAATAACACGAGCCATGTCAGAGGCCAGTCAGTTTTCACTGCACAGGTCAGGTGCATATGCTAATATTAGCGTAATTTGCTATTGATACAAAGAAGAAAGTGAGCAGATTGGAGGACTGAAAGAGGTTGTCAAGGAATATGGGTGGTTATCTGGATGGTCAGGAGCATTGCTGATGCAATAAATCAACTAGAGGAGCAGAAAATAGAAAAGCAGAAATATTCCAAATGGTCAGAGACCAAAATGTTGGAGTTCAAAGGGATCTGGGTGTCTTTATGCACGATTTGGAGTAAGTTAACTTCAGGTACAGCGAACAATTAGGAAAGCAAATGGTTTATTAACTTTAACCAAGGGATTGGAGTATGAGTTAAAAAAAGCCTTGCCTCAGTTGTATAGGGCTGACCAGACCTAGACTACCATGTAGTTTACATTCCTTTGGCAATACATGCTTCCCTAGTTTTGAAGGAAAGAACAAAGCAAAAGTTCTCTAGATTGTTTGGAAGTGGAGAGTTGGAGGAGACTTGGCCTACAATTTAAAGATTTGAAGAATGGGAGGTGATTTGTTGAAATGTGCCAAAAACTGAGCTCTTGCTCAATTGAGTTGAGGAACTTTTTGGCCTTAATCTGGTTAAACAAGACAGCAGACATTGACAGTAATTCCAGGATTGAATCCTGACTCTGTGCACATCAGGGAGTGATCTGTATCACAGTCAACTCTGTGGCAGCTGAGTTTGAGAATGCAATTATAGAATAGAATAGAATCCCTACAGTGTGGAAACAGGCCCTTCGGCCCAACAAGTCCACACCGATCCTCGGAGCATACCCCTGTAACCCACCTAATCTACACATCCCTGAACACTATGGGCAATTTAGCATGGCCAATCCACCTAACCTGCACATCTTTGGACTGTTGGAGGAAACCGGAGGAAACCTACGCAGACACGGGGAGAATGTGCAAACTCCACACGTCACCCGAGGGTGGAATCGCACCTGGGACCCTGGCGCTGTGAGGCAGTAGTGCTAACTGCTGAGCCACCATGCCGCCCTATACATTCATCGTGTGGCTAGAATTCTACAGACTTGGTCAGTATGGGGATTATATCATATGGCACTTTCCACAACCTCCTGAGTACCTCGCAGTGCTCAAACAGAAAATATGATTTTTTGTTTTTCGAGTGCTCACTGCCAAAGCTGTTGGACAGGATAGATACTGGGAAGGTGTTGTCTGGCTGGGGAGTCTAGAACTAGGAATCAAATGCTAAAATAAGCAATTGACCACTTTAGGCTTGAGATGAGTATCTTCACTCAAAGGGTTGAGTCTTTTGAATTTGCTACCACAAGACTCAGTCATTGAATGTTTTTTTTGGGATGTAAAGATGTTTGGATAATTAGGAAATGATGGGATATTGTGGGATGGTTTAGCTAAGGTAGGACAACAGCCATGATCCTATTGAATGGTGAAATGTGATCTGAGTGGCCTACACCTACACCTATGTCATTGTTCTTGTATGGTGCGATACCTCGTATTGTCCCAACACACTTGGTAAAAATTTTAAAAAATTAGGCTGCTTGCAATAATGAGGTTGTGCTATTTCCACGTGTGTGCGTCAAACATTCATGTAGCATTATCAGGATTTAACTGAAAAGGGAACTACTGGCCATTGTTAGCAACAACTACCTGTGGTCTCTTTGCTCTTTATGCAGTGGTAATGGTTAAGCTTTAACCTTTCATACTGAGCCTGCACTCCACTGTGGCTATCTGCTAGACTACTACTAACTGAAACGATATTGCATTGACAAGTCTTGCTTTTTGCTGCATATCCAGATTGATTGCCTTACCTCTGAGCAAGCAGATGGGTGTGAAGGAGAAATCCAGAAGGAAAGCCCCTCCGAAACCAAACTTGGAGAAAGCGTATATATCACACGGCACATGTCCTAAAGAGGTGGGCAAGTTTATTTTAATCATTCTAATCTAGGAACTGGGGTGGGAAGGACTTGCAGTTTGACAAAGCAATTCTCTACACTTCCAAAAAGCTTCAAAGCAAAGGAACGGTTTTTGTTGGATAATCAACATCTTTGTGTGGTTTGAGATGTGTACCCTGATCAATGACACGAATGGATTAGTTGACAGAGGACTGAGGTTACCTCTGACATCATTGTGTGCTTGTATTAGATATTGCTTGGAATCCCCCCTCAAAAGTAGAGTTTTTTTTTGTTTTATTATCCAGAAGAGTGATTATAAAGAAGAAAAATAAACTATTAGTACAATATTTGCCTTGCGAAATATTTCTATTGTTTTGAGGAAAACCAAATGTAAGGATGTGACATTGACCCTGAGTTCCGAAAGCTAACATTGCTTCTGTAATGTGGGAAGCAGGAGACTAGGGAAACAGCAATGCTGCTCAAAGGCAGACAACCGGAGAACTGATTGAAACCTTGGAAATGTGCAGCAAGGACAAAGTGCTAGAGAAACTCTGGTCTGGTAGCATCTAGATAGAAGAAAATGTTAACGTTTTAAGTACAGTGACCCTTTGTCAGCACTCTAGAAACGTGGACCATTTGGCTGAACCCAGGACAATGGATGCTTGGCTCTTAAAAAGGATCCAGCAATACAGTTAAGAAATCCATTTGGCTATACAAGTCTGAGTAATACTCATTGATTCGAGTAAGTAGGCTGCAAATGGCCATTTGGCAGGTTTCACTTGTGGAAAATGTATAGAGGGTGAATTAAAAAGAGGGTGGTGTGTTTTTTATTGCAACATTTTGTTTAGATCAGCAGAAGTGTTAATTAACCCTGTGGTTGATGTACTTCCTTCAATGGTTTCTACTATTTAGCACTTGTCATAGTGCCTGACTGATGATCTCCAAGCCTAGCTCTGTTTGATAAATTATTCACCTCTGTGTCCGTGCCTGGTAACCTGATTCAACTGGAACTGAATTCCATGTGAGACTCTAAACTTTATAGGAGAGGGAGAGTGTATAAGTCTGGCATCTTGCCACCCGGCCTGTGCAGCATCTGAATGGCTTTGACTTTTGTAGTCTTGTATGCTTTGAACTGATCTATTTTTGTTAACAAACAACCAGATGTCATGTTATAGCACCATCCTCTGGACCCAGGATTGGTATTGGATCCCTGGGGTGTTGGAATTCCAATAGAGGCAGCTCTAGACTGAGTTGCAGCTCAGTACTCACTACAAAGGAATAATTGCTAGAAATTCCTGTTTGCCTCTAGCTGTCGATCTTGTGATGACCTAGAATAAATATTTGTTCAACTTGTGGGCCTACTGAGGATCTGAACATTCTTCAGGATAAGACAACTCCCAGAGCCACTTGGAGTGGGATTGACAGATGGGGAGTTGAAATGGCAAAGGACTAAAAGTTCTTTTTTTTTTTTTTTTTAAATTGTTTTCATCCTTTTTTTTCTTAAAAGACTGTGGGTTCTGGAGATCTGAAACACAAACAGATTGCAGGCAAAATTCAGCAGGTCTGGCTGCATCTGGGGGAAGAAAGCGGCTTAGTTGTTTCAAGCCTAATGACTCATTGTTGGAACTTTGTAGATCTCTGCTTTCTTCCCACAGCTGCTGCCAAACCTGTTGAGTTTCCCAAGAAATTTCTCCCTTTTGCTTTATCGGAAATGTTTGTTAACAACTCCTAGGCGAAGTAGTAATTTTAATTTAATGGCCCTTCATTAGAGAAATAAAGCTCTTCCTGAAACCCCTCATAGCCTGGTCTTTGTAGATCTTTTAAATCCACCTGTTCAGAGATGTTGGTCTGCACCTCTGGAGCAGGTGGGACTTGGACCCAGTCCTCCTGGTCCGGAGGTGGGGACACCACCACCTCACCACAGGACCCTTTTTAGGCTCATCTCCGCATTAATTTCTGAGACCACCCTTGACATTTGACAAAATAGTGTGCCACGTCCCATTTGAGGAATGGTGACCCAATGCAAGAATACCGTTACCTCTGCTGCTCTGTCAACACACATGTGAACATGTTTCTGAGCTTTGCTTTCCCCACCTGATGGCGATGAAAGTGATGGGCAAAGAAACTAAGTTGCAGTTTGATCCGAATGTTTTTCAAGAGGCCACTTGTCGGTGCCTACATTACCTGGCTGAAGCCATGTAGCAGTGTAGTATAACTGCTTGCTAGTACAGGCTGTGTTGATGCAGCAAGGTTAATCTGTGTGCTTTGCTCTCCATTTATTGTAGAATGAACTCCTCACCCTTTCCAAGCAGTGTGACCTCTCGGTCCAGGCGGTGAAGGTATGGTTTCGGCACCGAAGAAATCAGGACCGACCCAGCATCTCTCAGAAATTCTGTGAAGCCAGGTGAGAATGATGTTCAGGTAACTAAAGCAAATGGCAGTAGATTTGGCCTGAAGAGATATGGAAATGGCTCCGATTATATTAGCTTTGAATAATTCGGAGATCTGTATTTATTCTGATATGGAGGTGCTGCCTTTCCTTTGCTCGGATGCATCTTTGTTTTTGCACTCTTCAAAGTAACACTCGAACATGGTTAGAAACGAAATGATCATTTGGGCTAAATGCACCATTTCCTGGGAGTACATTGCCTGATGTGAGACAAAACTACATGATGGACAATATCCAGTTCCATCCGTGCTCTGAGTTAGTGGCTACAATTTGACTTGCTGCTCACAGAGGCAAGGCGATCCTTTGGAGTGCTCGTACCTACCAATGCTACAGGATTGCCCACTTCTGCCTCTGCCACTACTGCTATTTCGTAAGGTGTTGAGCTGAGATCACGGCTGGCTGTTCTCTTCGCTCGGGTAGATCTTGACTAGACTTCCCCCAAAACTACTCATTTGATGGAATGTATCTATTCAAGATACTGTATGCAACAACTTGTCTGGCAGTAATTAATCCAAGTTGAATATTTATCGGATTCTTGATAGCTTTGTGAAAAGGCAGTTCCCAGATTTAGCACCAATTGTGCAAAGAAAGGATGTTCCAGCATTTTATCACAGTGGGAGGATTGGATTGAGAAACGAGGAAAGGACTGCAGCACATGTATTCCATATTAGAACTTCTAGTTAAAGTGTAATGACTTAATGTAATCTGTTTTTACAGAGCAAGATATTAAATGAACAATTTGTTATGTAGGAGTTTGCTCTAATAATTTGGTCTTTTCAGTGTAATTTCTAAGGCATTTCATCATAGATTTCTGTTTCCTGCCCTTTTTGGGGAGATGAGGCTCCATGGGGGTGTAAATGTTGAGTGGGAGGCCTGTTTTTCCCTGGGGAATACAAAGAGGATACTTTCTTTGTATCTGAGAAACAGCTTGCAGATGCAATGCTGTATGCAACAGAAAACACAAAATCTGAAGCTCATTTGTGGCATGAGGATGCCATGAAATGAGTGTGGGCTGAGCCAGGTCATGAGGACAATCAGCTCCCAGGGTGTTGAGGGACTATGGAGGTGAGCATGAGGGAAATGCAGGGTTAGAAATAGAATGGCATTGATTGGGGTGGGGATGGGTGGTTTTGAGGGGGGAGGGCACCGGATGAATGGGAAGAGGATAGTTGGCCGCAGTAAGCAGGGAAGGTTAGGGTCACCAGCAGAGAATGGTGGGGTTACAGAGGCATGCATGAGCTATTGGGGGATGTGGGGTGCCAGTCAGAGAGGATAGCGGAGGAGATAAATTGTGAGAGTAGTCTTGGGTAAAGGATGCTGTGAAAATGGGGAGCATTTTGAATAGGGTTGCAGTGTTATGGGGCGGGGCAGCAGCAACATGGGGGTGGGGTAGAATGGGGAGTGGCAGGCTCATCGGCGTGAAGGGCAGGACTTTCTCTCTATAAGCAGATTCTCAATTTAATTCTGTTTTTCAATGTCCTACGATTCCTTATTCTGTTTCACATTCTTTAAGCAGTGCCATATGTAAAGTTAAAAGCTTCTATTGTTGGAGATGGAGTGAGATCCTCTGAATATTTCATGAAGGAAAATTCTTCTAACTGGATTGTACTAAACAAAGGGGCAAGAACATTGCAGATTTCCTCCCTGGTTGTAACTGATGAAAACATGCCATCATGGTATTAAGGTGCTATATTTGACCTCAGCCTGTCTCCTAAGGATTTGGACACCTGATCACTAGATCAGTGATGGTCCGAAGTCACATGACGAAGGAGCAGCACTCCGAAAGCTTGTGATTTCAAATAAACCTGTTGGACTATAACCTGGTGAGATGTGGCTTCTGACCTTGTCCATCCCAGTCCAACACCGGCACCTCCACATCATAGATCAGTGGTGCCAGTATTTGGCTAACCTGACAAATGCCCACTCTGATTAGAATTTAGGGCAGCACGGTGGCTCAGTGGTTAGCACTGCTGCCTCACAGCACCAGGGACCTGGGTTCGATTCCACCCTCGGGCGACTGTCTGTGTGGTGTTTGCCCATTCTTCCCGTGTCTGCGTGGGTTTCCTCCCACAGTCCAAAGATGTGCAGGCTAGGTGGGTTGGCCATGCTAAAATGCCCATAGTGTTCAGGGATGTGTATATTAGGGGGATGTCTTGGTGGGATGCTCCGAGTATCGGTGTGGACTTGTTGGGCTGAAGGGCCTGTTTCTACACTGTATGGATTCGATGATTCTATGATCCTGGGGGTACTAGCTGACCATGAAGCTAAGCCCAGTAGGACCTTGGTATTTAGGAGAATTGTAGTCTAGAGGTGTTCGGTGTCGTCCAGAGAAGGAGCTCTGTGTGACAATTAATCCAGCCTGCGATATTGGGACTCTGTAGATGGATTGGCTTGTCTCTGTACTTCAAAGCCAAATAGATAATTCCATAAACCCTCACTATCTGCAATCGATTACTTTGAAGGCCAAGTACTTTGTTTATTTTTCAGTTAAACTGATGACTTCCACTCTGATCTAATCTTTGAGGTTTGTTGCTGTCTCATAAATATCTCAAGGCTGCTGAGTTTCACTATTTGCTCCACTCCCTCCACAGACCTTTTGTTTCTAAAACATGTACCCGTTGTGGCCTCCTCTACATCGGGGAAACCAAGCGGAGGCTTGGGGACCGCTTTGCAGAACACCTACGCTCGGTTTGCAATAAACAACTGCACCTCCCAGTCGCGAACCATTTCAACTCCCCCTCCCATTCCTCAGACGACGTCCATCCTGGGCCTCCTGCAGTTCCACAACGATGCCACCCGAAGGTTGCAGGAACAGCAACTCGTATTCCGCTTTGATACCATTGGGCTGCAGGGTTCCCATGTGGATTTCACAAGCTTCAAAATCTCCCCTCCCTCTACTGCATCCCAAAACCAGCCCAGCTCGTCCCCACCTCCCTAACCTGTCCTTCCTCCCACCTATCCCCTCCTCCCACCTCAAGCCCCACCCCCATCTCCTACCTACTAACCTCATCCCACCCCCCT